AGTTCCAATCGGAATATGCGGAGCCTTCACTCATTTTTCGCCCCAATGTTCCTCAACTTCTCTCCCCCACCTCCATTCCCGCTCCGGTCCCTTTCTTTCTCATTTTAGGAAAGCCACACCCTCGGAACCCTTTCGGGTTAACGCTGTTGAGGACAGCAGGGGAAAACCTCGTTCTCTTTCTCGCGGTCCCAACGGGACAAGGGGGACACCTTGCCCAAGAAAGCGAAGGACTCCGGGCGTCCGAGGTTCAGCCTCCAGTTCCAGTCAGGCTTCTCTGACAGGAAGCCTCGCTAAACAAAAAGCGATTTACTCAGCAGAAAACCGTGGACTACCCTTTAAACGAGGCCTTTGCGGGGCAAAGAAGGGAATGAGTCTTGGCCCAAACATGGAGGGGTCCCCATCCCAATATAATTCACTATTTGAAATGATCAAGTGGATCGGTGCTGAGGCGATCAAACTAAGTCGGTTAACGGTAACCACAAGACTTGGGTCCTTCACTTCCACAAATTCAAGAACTACAGAGAAAAAACGTTACAGTACCTGGCCATAGGATACAGCGAAAAGACGGGATAAGCCCTGAAATGATCCCCCTCTCCTTCTCCTCCGCCCCCTCCTCTTAAAAACGCCCTGCATGTACCTCTATGTTTATTTTGTCTCAAAACAGCCCTCCTAGTGGCTTTGTCGGCACGTTATGATGGCTAGCGTAACTACTGTCTTATTCTGAGTTAATCCAATCTTCTTAGGGGCTCGGATCGCCTGCGACTGGCTACTTTGGGTTCATCCGCCGAGGCAACGCGCCCTCCTTCAAAGTACCCATCTCCCCTCCGTCGCCTCATCTAGTACCTACCTGGAGAGGCCGAGGGGGAGGGCGGTCTCCAGAAATCCTCGATCTCGGCGGCCGGATCACACACGCTGCTTTCGCAGCTAGGGGCCGAATCGGAGGTCCTGTCCGCCCCATCGGGCAGTTGAGAATCCGGGGAGAGGCGGTCTTGGGGGGGATCCCGTTCGGGGAGACCCAGATGCGAAACCGTACTGTCTGTCCAGGGATGAAAAAAGGAGAAACAACAATTGTTTTCCCTAGGGTGTTGCTGATCCCTGATTTT